GATAGTGAAAGTTGTCAGAATCAAAATGGAATCACTTGTGTCAAACTTTAACCAAACAAATTACTTAGTTAACCTGGGAGGCCAATAAGGGAGGGCCCTCAAGCACACATACCTATAAGAACTATTACAAAGACTCTCTGAAGGGCTCTTACATACCAATGCCTGTAATAAGAACTTTTGCCAAGGACTTCTCAAACTGCGTCTTGCTACATGAGTCACAAGGATCGCTAGCCGGATGTACAAGACCTTACACTGCCTGACACACTGTCTCCACTAATGAACTGGCGTCAACTCCTGCAATAAGCCACTGTAACCAGTGTTCTCTCTATCTCAAAACAAATTATGTGTACTTTTCCCTTTTGCTGTTAAAAGCGTCCCCACCCTTTTTGGATATGTGTATGGTTACCTCTGCCTGCATATCCCAGATTTGCAAACCCCCTGCACATTCCTGAATAAATATCTTTGGAAAATCACTGTTTGTTATTTAGGTTTACAATAGTTTAAAGCATTTATCATTTATAAAATGCTTCTATGAATATTATATCATTTTGAGTTTAGCCTAGAGTGACCAATTGTCCCAATTTTCCTAGGACCAAGGAGGTTTCCTGAGACATGAGATTTTCAGTGTTAAAACGAAGAAAGTCCCTGGCAAACTGCAACAGGTTGGTCACCCTAGTTTAGTCCTCTCTGTATTATTGTAATGTCATAAAGCCAGATATCATCTTCATCCTATGCAGTTGTTCTTAAAGTGCGAGCATCTGCATCCCTGGAGTCTGTTAGAAATGCAAATTCCTGGGCCCCACCTCAGACCTACAGAATCAGAACTCTGGGGGTGGGCCCAGAGAGCTTCGTTTTAACAAGCCTTCAGGTGACTCTGATGCACACTAAGGTTTGAGAACCATCGATTTAATAAATTTAAAAAGAGATGGGATTTCTGAATAGTGGGAAGGTTGAGTTGAATGGCCTGTACGTTTCCCTCAGATCTAAGACTCTATGAACTCTGGGCCCCTGGGAAGAAGGTGGACACTATGTGCCCAGTGCCAGGTGCTAGCACATGGTCATACCAAGTAGCATCAAAATCCACGTTCCTGCCCTGGTGGTAGCGCCACTTGCAGTACACTTGGGTGGCAAAGCACCGGTCTTTCACCTCAGGGAGGGTGGTGAACTGGTCCTTGATGAATCCTTCAAATCCAGACTGGGTTGTTTTCAAGACCTTGAGGCCTTTGATTCCAGAATGAATGACTGGGGGTCCTGTTTTAATCACAAAGGCAGGAAGGGATGAGGTTATAAACAAAACAATGCCTTCTTACTGACACCTAGCACAGAGGGTCCTAGTCACTAAACCATGACACGCTATGTACAAAAAACCACATGGCTGCCCATGTTTCTGTCTTCCTGTCTCCTCTGCAGTCCGAGTGATGAGGATGTCCCTTTCCTTCTACCTGGATTCATTCCATGACTCCCTGCCCTCTCCTGCCCGAGGAAAACTGAAGGCCTGAGAACAAACCTCCACATTGTGTCGAAGGCCACAGAAATGAACACTTTCGTCTCGCCCACATGCAGGGTGCTTTCTCAGCCAAATTACTTTGCACGTTTTGAGCTCCATCTCATTCAACAGATAATCATGCTGCAGTGAGTTAATAAGTTCCTCGAGCACAGTTCCTCCATCTGCTCCTGTGATCCCTTTACTGGGGCAGTGCTCTTGTTGATCATCTACAGTGGCTGGTGACTCTGGTCACCACTAGACCTGGATGGCATCTCAGTTCCCTTATGGATATGAGGTCAGTGAAACCAGATAACTTCATGAATGGGTAGCAGCGTGGGCCTGGCTGAGCCTAAATAAAGACTGGGGGAGGCTGGTGACTCACAAGATATAGATCTACCCAAGTTGATGTCTATAAAGGCTTTTGTTTTTTGGCTGAAGGAGAAGGGACAAAGTTGGTTCATGGGTTCTGGGGGAGATAGGGAGAGGCGAACACACGGAGGAATGATATGGCTCTCCTCCTGTCTCTGCTACCCCCTGCTAAGGTAACGAGGCAGGTGGAGGGGTGACAGGCATAATCTGAAGAAGCTGTTTAGTTGTGTGCCAGGGCCCCGTGACAGGTGGGGCACAGAGTTAGGGAGGGGAGGGGTCTCTCTCTTTCTACGTGGAACACACTGAGGCTCCAGCAGTTTAGGGAAGCCCCAGGATATAACACTCTGTGGAAAGCGGAGCAGTAGCAGCTGACACAGCAAACACTCAGCAGAGCCAGTGAGGCAGCAGTTTTAGCCAATGGGTTCAAACCTCTTCCGAAGCACCTGAGAGACAGCTCTTTGAGGCTGTCAGATGGTGGGAGAGTTTGGCTGGAGAGGTCCAGCAGTTTCATAGTGAGAAAGCTGCAAGACCAGGAAAATAACATGAACATTACCATGACCTTATTTGTATGCACAGGCTGCTGAGGATGGGGGACATTCAGGGAGCACTTGGCAAACCCCAATAGCAAAGTGTTATGGTAGGATTACTAAGATCACCTCTTTTCAGTCTCTAAGTTAGTGCTGACTAATGTCTATCTTTCTCGGCCTGTTTAGTCTAAAAATCAAGGGCCAAAGGTGTCAGGCATCACTACATATATGGTCTTAGTTAAATAACAAGAATGTAGCCCGTGATCCTCAATTAAAATCCACAGAAGCTCTTAAAAATCCAATGGTTTACATCACCTGTGTGGTGTCAATTGCTATAGTCAACTCAGGGGCTGTGGAGTTTCAGAAGCAGGTAAATAATGACTGTATTTTGATATTTTCCATGCCACATGTGTGCACCTACCAGAGAGAGCAATGAATAGTGGATAATGGTAGATCTGCTTATTTAAAATGTTCTGATTAAATAAGGTGTTCTGTGCAGAGTGTTCCAGGATAATGTGGTAAAACAGAAAATGATAATCATTTAACTTTCCTAGGTTCTCATTGGAAGCTATATCTGAATAAGGATTGAAAGAAAGACACCAGCAAGGCCTAAATGTCTTCAGTTGGCTGGGTTTGTCAGATTCTAAATGTATAAAGACATGATCTCACAAAATCAGCATTTCCGAATGCAGTGAATATAAAGTCCCAAGAGAACTGCAGAAACAATCAGGTATCTGTTGAATGAATGAATGAATGAGTAACAAGATTGATTCACATCAAGGAATATCTCACAAGTCAGTCTCTTTCTCTTTTAGACAGTTCACCTCCATCAATCTTTACCATTTCTCTTCCTCACGCCCTGCGACCCTCACACACAGTGTGGCAGGGAGCGAGGGGTAAGGTAGCAACCTTGGCTGAGAACCTCCTGTCTGCAGGCATGCCTTTGGTTGCTGCCTTTTTCAGTCTTTATCTTATTTAATACTCAAAACTCTATAAAGTAGGTATTTTTATACAGGTGACTTTTAATCATTTGCCCATAGTCACATGGCTAGAAACTGGCAGAGGTGGAATTTAAACTCAGCACCACATTATGAGATTCCCCTTTTTTCATCACCCCCATCTGTGCAATGTTTCCTCCTTTCTTTGACTCTTTCCCCGTTTCTGCACTGTAAGACGTCTTCCCAGGAGATGAGAAGGTTGCCACTTCCCATTCCACGGTGTGCTTTGAGGGCCTCGGACAGAACCCCCTGCCTGAAAAATACCATCTCCATTGGTCTGAAATGGAGATAGAAGACTCACTTCTAGAAATGGCTGCTGTGTATCTAAAAATTTTTTATTGCTTAAAAATGTTCTATCAAAATGCAAAGATCCCTTAAAGGAGTGACTCCTTAAAATTTCTAAGTGAATATGGTAATCTACTTCCAAAGGGAAATCCCTTCTAGAAAGCAAAATCCCGTAGAAATGAGACACAGGTTTGCAATCAGGAGTGGGGTTAAAATAAGTAGTAGAAACCCTTGAAAGGGAATACAAAGATGAAAGAGAACCAACGGCAAATTTTACCTACTTCATCTTTTCCTGTATAGCTGGTCTTGATCACCAGCATCCACGTAAGCCAATCAACTTTGTCTCCTCCAATGGTCTTAACCACAAAAGATTCCTGGATATGGTGTTGCATAGTGGTAAATCCACAGCTTTGGGACCCAGATTCCCTGAATTCAAATCCCAGTGCTCTCCCTGCCTCCCCATACCCAGTTTCTATGAGCTCTATTCACCTGAGGAAATTATTCGACCTTTCCCTATCTTGATTTTCTCATCTGTGAAATGGAGACAATAATTATACCTGTTTCCTAGAGTCAATACATGTCTAAGATAATGCACAGAAAGGGTTTAGTATAATGACTGCCCTACAGGAAATGCTCTATAAAAGGGATGATGATAGTTTAACATAATTGACTTTTTCTTATTGACTTCAACCACCTGTAAATATTTTCCCTGTTTCACAAAGCCTCACTGCGTCCTGACAGCTACTGATGTGCCATCCCATCTGCCTCCAGCTCTAGGGTGAGATTTACTGACCTTAAGGAGTGTCAGTCCTGCTAGACCACTTTGAAATGATCTGCTTTCTTGCTAGAATCTAAAAATGGAGAAAGCAGTTCCATTTTTAAAATGTGTTTTGGCATCAGTTTTACATAGAATAAGATGTCTCATGTTCCCAAAGACAATTACCTATTGCCACAGTTTTGGCAGAATGCAGGCCATCTACTCTGGGGCTCTCATCATTCCTTGAACAACAACAACAACAACAACTATTCTCTTTGAATGTTAAAAGAATTTTTTCCTTGGCACACATTAGACATGCTGGATGAAATCAGAGAGCTTATTTTATCTTCTCTATTGGCAGTGCCCCAGCTTTCTGAACACTGGTAAGAACCTGAAGCTTTCAAATTCATGGGCCCATCAACTAAAAATATGATGCCTCACACACTCTAAAAAAGATTCCAATTTAGACTAACAAGAAGTAAATCAACCCAAAAGACCGTCCTTTTCTAGGTTATTTCCCATGAAACCACTTAATCAGCTTTTTTTGGTTTTTGTTTTGTTTTGGTTTTTTGCCATAGTTATGGAGTAATGCAAAAGAAAGATTTTTCACATTTTTTCTTTGCTAGAACATAATCTTTTCTAGCTTTTAGTGTCCTCCTACACACTTAGCAGATTGTGGTTTATCTCTCAGAGAAGCATACATCCTACCCTTTAGCTATCTAAGGGAAAGAAACTCACTGCAGATTAATACAAAATAAGCCCAATTCCTTACCTACGCAGCAGGTGTCACAAAGCACAAAGCTTTACTGAGCCAAGAAAAAAATCCTGTCATAAGAGTATAATTGCTTCCACATTTAACACCTCCTAAAAGAACACAAATAGCTGAAAGGAGGATATTTAAAACTACATTAAATCATTCTAGTAGAAAATCTCAAACTTGTAAGTGCTAGAAAAAGTGAAGATCAATTAAATATTTGCCTTGAAGAGGCCATTTAGCTCATGCAGGGAAAGTGAAAGCTCCCTCTGTGCAATTCTGGATGGAGAGAGATGACATCATCCAGATGGTAGCAAGTTAAGTGGGCTTTTGTACAACCAGGTGATGATCAAGGCGATTTTTAAAAGACCATGTGTCTGCCAAGAACATTTCTTACAGAAGAACTGAAAAGTATTTTAGTCTCAATATCGAAAAGACATAAACAGCCTTCTTGGCAGCGGCCATCTCTGTCCTGGTTCTCCCATTTCTCTCATCTCACCTCTTCCATCTGCCCAGCCTGTCACCTCTTAAATCTGTTCTCCTCCAGGACTTTGATTTCGTCAGCTGCCTTCCTTAAAACCATCCTCCTACCCTCACTAGCTTTCATGGCGATAGATGTTTTGGGGGTGTTTTTCACTACTAGAAGATGGTATCTATTATTTAAACCTCTTCTTCATCTCCCATTCCTCTAACTATGCTTTAGCTGATTTTTATAATTAGTGTCAGAATGGGAGAGATTTGATGCTTAAAAAATTGTGAGTTATAATTCAAGTAGTGCAGAGGTTGGGGGCCAATTTGGTTCAAATTAGCCTCCTCAGTGACTTCAAGTCTCAGCTAAGCTCATAGTTCAACAGAGACACATGAGAGAAAGAGTTCCAAAGATCCAGGTTGCATATAGCACCTAAACCAACGGTCTGCATCAGGCACATAGAGCCTAGTTTTCCTCTCAGGGATTGAAAAGTCCCCAAAATAACACCAGCCCTCATCCCTTTGGGTGAAAAAAATTCCTTTTCTGTTCCAGATTCTCCCATGGAAGCAGCAAACTTTGAAACACCAGAAAGTACAGCTCCATGATGAAGCTTTAAAAGATCCAGTAGGAAGAAACAGGGTAATGGGAGTTTTAGAACAATTTCCAGGAACTAAAAGTGGTGCTCGAGATTAAGTAGGCTTTTTATAAATGTTTGTTCAACTGATAAGTAGGAGTTAATATGGCCCACCAGGAGAAACCCAGTCACATATCCTGCTGGGAAGAGCCCCTCTGGGGAGTGGCATGACTGAATGTGTAATTAAATACATGTACTTGAGGGGATAGAATTCTTAACCATTCTAGCCAGGCCTCCACCAAAGGCGCTACTCAGGGGTTTATAACAACAGCATTCACCATGTGAATTTGTGTGTGTGTGTGTGTGTGTGTGTGTGTGTGTGTGTGTGTGAGTGAGAGAGAGAGAGAGAGAGAGAGAGAGAGAGAGAGAGAGAGATAAGGATTATTTTCTTTTGTTAAACCTATACAAGGGCATTTCTTATGACAATGATTGTAACATTGATTCTCATCATAATTTCTGCATTTTTAGCTCTTGGATAACAAGCAAATAAAGAATTAAGCTTTGCTACCAAAAAAGTATACATCCCTACCCTCCAGAGAGGGACAGAGTAGAATAGAAATGTTATCTTCATATATACAACCCTGGAAGACACGCTCACTCATATACATGTACACATACATACCTGCATGCACGTAAGGCAACAGATGTCTCTTCCCCTACCCCAATCCCTGCCAGCCCTGCATGATATCAGAGGAGGGCTGGACTCTAAATGAGTCAAGCTGGAGCTTCTGGGAACACCGCCACAATGATCTCAGCACCCTGAAGCTTTGGAGCTTTCTGCAGAAAGAAAAAGCTTCAACCTGATTATGGAGGCTAGTTTTTTCCACTCGGCAGCAGCCAGGTGATTAGAATTTAGGTTGGTACTAACTCCTGGTAATTCCTGGAAAGAACAGAGTGTAAATGGAAGCATGTTTTCTTTTTATGATCAGTGGAACCCTATACTTGGCCACTTCACATCCACCTCCATAACTGTGCTCAAAGTATTCTTGTGGAAGTCACCAATGACACCTATTTGACCATGACACAGTTCCTCTTCAGGCCTCTTTTAATCCAAACTTCCTAACCCTCCTGGTGCAGAGACTAAATCTATTTCCTCTTCCTCCTGGGTACGCCAGGGGACTATATTCTGCAGCCACCTTGCTGTTAGGTGTGGCCATGTGATCGAGTTCTCCCAGTAGAAGCGCTACGTGCTGTTTTCAGGCCTGGAGCTTATGCTGGAGGGGTTTTGCCCTCTCTTTTTGCTCCTCTAAGCTCTCTCCCTCTCCTGATTATCTGATATGGGGATCTACTCTCAAGGTGACACCTAAAATTAAGGACTAAAAGCGTAAGATTGTCATCAACCTGGGCTCCCAAATAACTTCTTGGAACAGAGCACCTCCTCCACACAAACACTGAGTTGGACTTTGACAAAAAGAAGTAAACTTCTTGTGCAGGGCCAGTACATATAGGCCTATTTGTTATGCATCTTATTACCTAAATAACTATCCCTGATTTCTTTTTTTTTTCAATTTAAGATTTATTTATTCATTTTTTTATTTCAGCATATTACAAGGGTACAAATGTTTAGGTTATATATATTGCCTTTGCCCCACCCGAGTCAGAGCTTCAAGCCTGTCCATCCCCCATGTCCCTGATTTCTTGAAATGTACTTTTCTTCTGGTTCCATGACACCACTGTGTCCACTCCTTCTTCTGTCTCTCTGACCATTCTTCAGTCTCTTTAAACTGCCCAGTCCTTAAACTTGGGACTTTTCCTGAGCCCTCTCATCTTTCCTCTTCTCACTTTGTATGTTTTTCTGGGATAGTCTCCTTCTTCCCTATGGCTTCACCTACCATCAGTCTGTTAATGGTCCCCACATCTATCTTCGTCCCATACTCCCAAACTCATCAGCTTCCTCCCTGAAAACTTGCTCCTTGTGTGTTCTCTGTAGTCAATTCCCCAGTCCTCCAACTCTAGGGTCAACTTTAACTCCTCCTTCTCTCCTATCTTCCATCCCTACTCAGCCTATAAGCCCATTTGGTCAAAAATCAGAAATGCGCCACACAATGCTTCCCCCGCCTCTCAGTCCCTCCGTCTCTACTTCTACTGCCTTAGTGCAGAGCCCTGCACTTCTTCGTCTCTGCGACAAGTCTCTGAATGTCTCAGGACTGCCTCTTTCTCTAGCCTGTTCACCAGACCTTGGTCAGAATTAAAGAACACACACACACACACACACACACACACTCTCTCACCGGACCATTGAAGACCTCCCCTGGTTCTCTGTTGTCATTCTAAACAATAATGATGGCCATTACTTAAGGAGTGTTTCCTATGGTGCCAGGTACTGTGCTAAATGCTTAATAAAATATATTTAGCATTTACCTCCTCTATTTCCGTGGGCAATTGCTGAGGTGGACACTGGTATCTTCATTTTACAAATAAAAAATTCACCAATGTAGCGTAAGTCACTTGCATCTGATCACAAAGTTATTGAGTAGTGGAGCTCAAACTCAAATAGTATTCATGCTGACCCCATGGCCTCTGGGCTTAACCCAAATTGTGTCCAAGTTACACTAAAGTTAGCACATCACATGAGGCCCTTCGGAGTCCAGCCCAAACCAACTTCTTCATCTTCATCTCTGCTTCTTACATTCTACAAATCAGACCCACTGAGGTTTGTTACTGTTCCTCAAATGCTTTGCCCTCCCAACAGTTAAGTAAAGACCTGCCCAGTACGGTGCTCATAGGAGACCGGTGCTCAGAATATTTCTCTTCCCCTCTTCCCCTCCTTCATGAATCCTACTCATATGTATCCTGTCTCTTCTGCCTATAATTCCCTTTAATTCCCTATAATGCCTTCTATGCCAGCATGTTCTGAATCAGTTTTCAAAAGTAAATTGAAATATTTCCTCCTCCCCTGTCAAGCCTTCTGGACTGCCCTGGGAAGAGTCAGTTTTTTGCACCTCTCTGTTCCTATAGCTTGCCTTTAATCCCTCTAGCCCCTTATATTGCAATAAATCTGTTTATAAATCTGTCTCCTATTATTCATCTATTGTAAACTCACTAGGGTCAGAGAATGTCTTACTCATCTTTTTATCTATAGTCCCTTATATATATAATAAGTCCTCAAAATTTAATTATTGAATGAATAACATAAGCACTTTTCATAAATACTCTCATTTTTTTAATTAGCTTTCTTAAAGTCTAATTCTAGCCCCTGCTATTATTTTACATAATTGAAAGTGGAATGAAGAATGTGCTAAGTATTCCAAAAGTCACTGAAAAACTGTTTAGAGCTATGCTAATCAATACAGTAGCCACTAGTCACATGTGGCTGTCAAGCACTTGAACTACAGCTAATGTGACTCAAGACGTGCTGTAAATATAAAATAAAGGATTTCAAAATTTTAACTTTGTAAAAAGAATGTGAAATATTTCATTAATAACTTTTTATATTTATTATATACTAAAATATTTTGGCTATATTGGGATAAATAAAATATATTATTAATGTTAATTATTAATTTCCCTCATTTCTTTTTGCTTTTCTAATGTGACCACTAGAAAATTTTAAAATTATATATGTGGCTTTCATTGTATTTCAGTTGGAGAGAGTTGGTTTAGAGTTTCTAATGTTATGAGGGTATTCAGTATGGTGTGGGTAGGAAAACACTGGCCTAAGAGTCAGGAAACTTCTTTACTTCTCCTCCAAAGTCATATAACCAAGGCAAGAAGAAAGGAAGAAAAGAAAAAAGGAATAAGGGAGGGAGGGGGAGAGAGAGAAGAGGGAAGAAAGAAAAGAAGTTAGTTCCAATTTAACTAACAAATGGCTCAGTCAGAGACCTAATATATCACATGGCTATACATCTGGGGGATAAAAATCATCTTTCAACTTAATACAATAACTATTTAGTCTCTTATATAACAATAATTTTATAACTATTAATCAAACACTGATAAGGGCCTAGCTATGTTTAGACTTTCATACAGATAGTGATATATTAAATAATAGCTAATACACTAGAGCTTTCTAAGGAGGACATTATCCAATAGAACTCAGAATGAGAAAGACTTTATATTTTATTAACCTGATAATATGCCTGATGTGTATTAGATGCCACCTCAAATTCTTACTGAGGACATTTAGAAAAGAAAGAAAGAGGAGATAAAGCAACAGCAAAAAAAGGAAAGTGGAGGGAGGGGAGGTAAGGAAAATAGAAAAAGAAAGAAGTTTAGCATCCACGCTTTCATTTCATAATGATCATTAAAGTTTATTTTTATTAGGATACAGACATTTCTACCATCTTTGGCTCCATGGTTCTTAGAGGTCTTCTAGTCTAACTCTCAGCCAATTATTGAACTCTGCTCTGACAACCTTAACAAATCAGTGAAATACAAGCTTTGGAAATTTTAGTATTTGTTGAGTTAAATTATCAGTACTAGTAAGGTCTATATTGTAATTATATGCCACAGTTAATTTTTAAATTTCTTGGAAGTAGAATTATATAATTGTCATTGCTACTTTCAGTGAGATTCATTTTATAGAAATTATAATAATATTAGTGGTTTTATTATGTAAATAGAATTTCAGGAAAACTTGATTGTTATTTAGTAAACATTTCCTATAAAAGTTACTGTAATTATAGCATGGTATGATACAAAAAATATTGATCAAAAAATTCAGAGATACAGGTTCTTGTCAGCCTGGACCTTTTTTATTCTGCCTCACCTCAAAATCTTGTAACAAAAATGATCTACCCCACTCAACCCCCAGGTTTTGTTGCAAAATGAAATATTTCATTTTTGTATTTTTAAGATAAAAAGTAGATAATTATTTAATGTAATCCAAAGCCACAATGTTCCTTTCCATCTCAGATTTAATTCTCTGTAATTTTCCTCAATGTTAACAAACAGAGTTGTTGAGAAGAAAGAAAAAAAATCCTGAAGTCACTATTGTAGAATCAAAGCATGAAAAATAGTTCTTACCGTTCCTCATCTGCTCAACCTCACAGAAGTGTGTTCCAGTGGGAGCGTGAATAAATGCATGGACATGCTTAACTCCATTCTGAAAATTAGGGAAAAAAATGTTTCCAGTAAAATTTCAGCACATGCCATAAAGCCAATTTCTTCAATTAAACTGGGAGCACAAATAAGTAAAATAACCTTTTCAAAACGCTTCCAAGGGACTTCTTCCACGTGGACGTGAGCTCGTATGACATGGTTAAAAGAAGAAAGGAAATGCTCACAGATATTCAGAGCAAAGGCTTCTATGCTTTTGATCTGTAAAAAGAAACAGTGCTAACTATTAGAAATATTCACCCCATTTAAAAATAATTTTTAAATACTGTTAAATGAAATTATAATGGGAGGCCATTGTTTTGGACTGAGCTCCTACACTAGGCCCCAACATACCAGACCAAGCCAAAATGGAGTCCCTCGTGCAACGTGCCACATAATCAAATCAAAACTTTAAGGAAGCAGATAGATCCCCAAACAGACTGGTTCTTCCTGAAAACAGGAGATTCCAGTCTATCTGAGTCAGCATAATACAGAAGTCCCCTCTGCTTTAACCCCTACAAAAAGGTAACCTCAAGTAACCTCATGTTGATCAATCTATTTTTTTCTATTGTTCTGTTTCCTTGTTCCCACTTTATAAAATCCACTGTTCCGTCATTGCCCAGTAGGAGCTCTCATTCTCTTTTGTAGAATGGAGCCTGCCCCTAATGGTACAGACAATCAATTAAATTTATTGCTACATTTGTTGTAATTTTGTCTTTTGACAATATTCATGAAGCTCTCTTTCTTGATTAATTGCTTTTTAGAATGAGAGAAGTACAGAATTAGAAAGAATCTCAAGAGATGAAGGTCCTTATCCCAGTTTTTTATTAGAGCTCCTAAGTGAAGTTAATAATCACCATCACTAGGTGAGACCCTCTTGTTTTTAAAAGAAACCCATTTTGCAGAAGAGGATCTGTCAGTGGCTGAGCAAAAAGTAACTCAATATTTAAATTCTCTTCACGGCGAGCTCAGTCATGGCCTACACCAACAACAGCACACCATAACACTCTGAACTCTTTATGAGGTTTGCAAATGGACCTCCCAGTTTCCCAAGGAAAACTGTGAATGAAGGGCCACCTCACCTTCCTCACCTTGCATACAGGCCTTCTGTTGATCATGGACAGCTCTCTACCCCTATAAAGCACCTCCCCAATTCCACACAACCCTCCGTATTAATTTCTGGGCAACATTTTATGGCCTAGAAAACTACACAGATTATTAATGCCTTTGCCTATAATTAAGGTGGACTATTTATATAGGTTTCCCAGTACAGTGCTGTTTTATACCTGTTGTCTCAGAATAATCATTAATAGCATCCTATTTCACTCACAAAATTGTCCTGGTTTAGATAAGAAATTATATGGTCACTCTAACTATAATGAATGAATTTGAATTGTTTTTAAATTGGGGTCCATCCTTCACTTTTCTACAATTTCTCACACAGTATGGGAAATATAATAATCTGTGATACCTGGCCCTCTTCCATATCATAGTACAGGCCTATTTTCAAATAATTCTTTTAAGAGAGCAAGCCATTCCTTTTTACATAGCCCTGTATACGTTTGCTGGGCCATTCTGATTAGCAAGAGAAAGGTTCAGGGTGGAAATAGGGTTTGCAGAATCTATATTGCAATTCGTTTGTTCATTTAATGCATTATGGGTATGGATTTCATGCAAACACATAAGAAAAGAAGCTTTCCAGTATACATTTCTTGTCTTTTTAGACTTCTTGGCAAGTAACAAATTATCTTGAACTGGCCAGAAATATGCTGGTGGTCTCTCACACTTAAAGAAACCATTGCAAAGATGTGGAAACAACCCAAGTGTCCATCAATACATGAGTGGATTAATAAACTGTGGTATATGTATACCATGAAGTACTATTCAGCTCTAAGAAACAATGGTGATATAGCACCTCTTATATACTCCTGGAAAGCGCTGGAACACATTCTACTAAGCGAGGTATCCCAAGAATGGAAAAACAAGCACCACATGTACTCACCATCAAACTGGTATTAGCTGATCAACATTTAAGTGCACATATAAGAATAACATGTATTCGATGTTGGGCAACGGGAGGGGGGAGGGGGGAGGAGGGGACGGGCATATGCACAAACAATGAGTGCGATGCGCACCTCCGGGGGAATGGACACACTTGAAGCTCGGACTTGGGGGGGAGGGAGGGTAAGGGCATCATGCGTAACCTAATCATCTGTACCCCCATAACATGCTGCAATAAAAATTAAAAAAAAATATTTTGCAAAAATGTATAAAAAGAATAATGCATCATAATAAACTGTGATTTATTCTAAAAAAAAAAAGTTAATTAAATTGCAAAAAAAAAAAAAGAAACCATTGGTAGAAGTGCTAAAATATCAGTTTAATCAGATTTGAGTTCCTCTTGAAAAGTGCTATTAACCATCACATATAGATAGTAAGTGGTAATGGAGTTGAGAAAGTTAGGAAGGCATTAATATTTGAACAAATAAATTTCAAGAATAAGAAGAAATGTGTCTTATACTCAAGATTTTCTTCTGCAGTAACAACAGGAGAAATATGGTATTTTCTTTTACAAATGCGCATCATTCTAAAAGAAAAAATATATGATATGACTCAAAGGAATGCACAGCAAAAATGTGTTAGGTTCTACTCTGAAATCTCAGGACCTTTATCTGGCTATGATCCTAATTGCAGATTAACATGGTAAATTTGTCCAGTAAGATTCTCTGCTTAAAAGATTGTAGTGAAATCAGAGCTAAAAACAGAAAACAAAGAGGTGAGTTTAAAAAAAAAAAGCATGGCTGTGTGTGGGTGGCTCACACCTGTAATCCTAGCACTCTGGGAGGCCGAGGCAGGAGGATCACTTGGGGTCAGAGACCAGCCTGAGCAAGAGCGAGACCCCCATCTCTATTAAAATTGAAAAAAATTAACTAGGCAACAAAAGTAGAAACAAAAATTTTTTTTTTTTTGTGATGGTGAGTGCCTGTAGTCCCAGCTACTCAGGAGGCTGAGGCAGGGGCATCGCCTGAGCCCAGGAGCTTGAGGTTGTTGTGAGCTAGGCTGACCCCATGGCACTCTAGCCCTGGCAAGCACTCTAGCCCGGGCAACAGAGCAAGACTCTGTCTCAAAAAATAAATGAGTAAATAAGTAAGCAAATAAATACATGCAAACATTTCTGAAATCTTGAAAATTTTAAGACAGAAAGGAAAACTTTTAAAATGGCTTAAATATAAAAATAGGTTAAAAGGTAAAGGGAACTTGAAATAAGCAAGTACCACCCCCATGCTGTCGTACAGCAAACTCGACATCAAGATAGGCAGCATCTAAGAAGAATGACACATACCCCTTTGAATTTTGCCAAGACATGAACTGTGTTCTTGATAGTGTCTGTAGGGATGATGTCTGAATTATCTCCATGCAAGTAATCTTTTTTGGAACTCAGAGTAAGTTGCACTGAAGTTGCCACCTCTTTAATGCTGTGGTACTTTCCATCTCGCTGAATATGGAGAACTTTCACCATGTCCTTCCCATAGCCAGTTCGGACAAACTCCACCTCATCGTTCTGCAATGAAAACATAGTCATCTTATTGAAGAAGGCTACATGAAAGCAAAAAAGTCAGTGGCAATTTCTTTAAGTTTTAATTTTATCATACAATTATAAAAGGCAAGATTCAGAGTATTTATGGAAGCAATATCACATTCTACCTTTGAAGAAGATGAATGGGAACTTGTATAGAAAAAAGAGAATCCCAAGAAACAAATGAAAATGTTTCAGATTTCTCTAAAGACAGACAGGTAGATGGCTTTCTTGATAATAATGATAAATAATAATAAAAGAACCTCTTGGGTCAAAATTATGCTAACTTTGCTCTATTTTATTTAATTCATGCTAATTTCATCCTGTAACAGCTCTGTGAACGAATAATCCCATTTTACAGAGGGATAAACTGAGTTTCAAAGAGATTGAGTGATGTGTGAACCCTGGTTCACATAGCTAGTAAAGGACACAGCCAGGATTTGCACTCAAGTCTATTGACTCCAAACTGTAGAGTGGCCACTATGTAAACTGCCTTTCTTCTATAAAATTTCTTGACTATGTTATTAATAACTGGAAATGATTACATGCACTTTTTAATAGAGAGTGATGTTCTGAAGAAAAATGCCCTGTGATCAATAGAAACAATTTGAAAATTGCCTTTTCTACTTGCTGCCGGGAAGAAATTTAATTAGTGACAGGGCCTAGATTACCTTCAGGAGTGCAGAGCCAGGGCCGTCTGGCTGCAGGGAGAGTTATGCTTTTAGCGAAGAGTCACTTAATGAAATCCTAGTGATTGATTCATTACTACCCTTGTCTGAAGCTGGAGCTTAGTTAGCGAACATGTCCATCTCTGCAGGTAGAATCCACAAGGCTTGTCCCTGGGCTTTACTGGTGTTTGAGAGAAGAGGCAAAAGGAAGGAACAGAGGGACAAAAAAACCTATTTTATTTAGCATGGAATTTGAACATTAAAATAATAATAAAAGAAGGTAACAAAAGTAAAAGTAAATAAAAAACAGCGTGCAGTCAGAGTCTAGTAAGGAGACAAAGAGGGAATCTTACTTGCAAATTGTACTTAGGATGTTCAGATATACCAAGGGCTGCCTCAAACTCTATTTGCATAAAAATCACCAGATCCTCTGAGGGGAATTTAAAATGACCAGCCAACACCAGAAATTATTGCTGTACTTCATTAAAGTGGGGAATGGGAAGCTGTCCCCAGTCTCAGGGCTAGAGCTGGGTGGGTCATTTAACATGCCCTGGGAGGTTGAGGTATCTGGATTCAGTCCTTCCTATGTGGGAGTTTAAGGGAAAACTCATGGAAAGGCCTCCTGAAAGCCTGTGGCCCAACCTTTGGAGGACCCATCTTCAAGAAAACGGTCAATAAGAAAACCAAAATAGCAGATTTAAGGGGGATCCCAATAAGAACTGTAATGATCAGGAAAGAGACATTGTGCGGTTGTTGTAGTACCTTTGTAATCAGACCAGGTCCAAATTCAATCTTGCCATTTATAGCTTTGTGGCTTCAGACAAGTAATTTAATGTTTTGAGCCTCAGTTTCCCCATTTGTGCAAATGGAGTTAAACACCTCTACCTTGCAGGGCTGCCTTTAAACGTGAAAGGGAACTACTAGATCCTGGTAGCTAGTGGTACCCTGAGGTCAACCCCAGCAAGAGTGGCCATGTCAGGCCTGGCTGTGAAAGCAGCAGCAGCAGCAGCAGAGGTAGCAGAGGTGACCTTGATTAAGGGCACCAGGTTTGGGAGCGGAGGGCACTGCAGGTAGCGGCAGGAGGGAGACTCTGGCATGTCTTGAGCCACAAAGGATTCTGCCTGGAGGAGGGCATTTGACTGGCTTGGGGCCCCTGGGTGGTCTGGCTTAGGGTGTAGAGCCAAAGGTCCCTGAGATTGTCCACCATCCCCAACACACAGCAGGACTCAAAAAATCATCCCTCTCCTGCCACTAAATATCCAAGCTACAGTAGCTTAGCCTGTGGAGGCAAGTGGTACCTATGTGGCATACGGAAAGGCTAAATGATAGCCACCCTGTTCGCCTCTCCAGCTTCACATCTGGCCACACCTTATTGCCGACTCTGTTTTAGCTATGCTGAGCTAACTGTGGCTGCCCAGGTGCTGTGTGCTTTCTCTATCTATGGGCCTTTGAATTTGCTATTTCTTCTTTCTGGAACACTCTTTCCCTTCCTCACTATCCAAACACCAACCTTTTCACCTGCCTAACTTCTTCTCGTTATCCTTCAAGTCTCAGGTGCCACCTCCCCCAGGTAATCTGCCTCAGCTCTTCAAGTCTGAAGTAGGTGCCCCTTTTAGGCGCTCTGAAAATACTTGTCATTGCCTTCTCAGAATCTTTATCAAATTGCATTGCAATTGCCTCTTCATGTGTCTGAATCATTCAAAAACAGTAAACTATGAAAGCGGAATGAGTTCAATTGTGGTTACCATGGCAACCCCAGCACTCAGCACAGTGCCTGGAACATAAATAGGTGCTTAATAAACGTGTCATGAATGAATGGATGGTGCCACCACCACCTCCGCTCCTTGTGTGATGTCATAGAATAGTTAATAAAAACACACGAAAGATCTCAATTCCAGAAGAGCCGCTTCAGCTCAGACCCCAATCAGGAAGTTCCTCTTCCTGGGAAAGCAGGGCAAGGAACTTATGCCCTCTGATCACCGCAGCCTGGAGATCACAGGCACAGCTGGCCAGAGAACAAAGGCCCAGGAAGGGCAGGACCGAGTATAGAGGGTCGATGATGCAGCACGGAGTGCTAATAAGACAGAGCCCCGGCGCAGCTCAGCCGTCCCGGGCCAGAGATCACGTGAGACGCATGCGGGAGAGGTCAGCGCTCCCTAGCGGGATCCCGGCTAAGTGGAGCTTGGCACTTGAGTAAAGCCTGAATAATCAGTGTACTGAACAACGAGTCAGAATAAAAAGGACCTAAGCATCTGAGCGTGGAGCAAGATGGAACAAGTCCCGTGTGGGACACCTACAGAAATCTCTTAGCAGGACTTGGCACAACAGATAATGGTCTGGACCAGCACTGAGGCTGTTGTCCCCCAGTTCTGTCGTCACAGCAATTAGAAGTAGGTGTCAGAGCCCCACTGTGTAAAACGCTGCGTGTGGTGCAGAGATCTACGTCCAGGATAACCGTACAGTGAGATACAAAGGTTGCTCTCTTCTAGAGCGGGGGCAGCTGGCTGAAATGATGGGCTGGGCTTCGGAGTCACGCGACCCAGGTGGAATCCTTGTTCTGCCACCTATTAGCTCTGAATGGAGGCAAATTTCTCCATCTGTAAAATGAGCATAATAGTAGTGTCCAGCTCTCAGGACTGACGTGAGGATTACATGATAAAAAAGTCATAAAGCACTTAGAAAAGTGCCTGGCAGATAGTAAGTGTTCAACTAATGATGGCTATAATTACCATTGATAAATAATAATTATATATCAAATTTTGTATTAAGGATCCTTCCAGTTGTCAATAAATGCCTCGGGTGCACATGAATCCAGAGCTGGGGTGGGCAAAACCAAAGGGCTGCTGCTCTGAGGGGGCCTGCTTCTGCCTGTCCCTCTCCTCCAGGTACCACGGCCTTATTTAAATTTTCATGGTCTCTCATGTCCATTCTTTCGGCTGTGCTTCCTCAGGCTTGTGTAGCTTGAGGAAACAAAGTTACAAAAGGAAACCCAATTTCCTAGAGTAATACTCTGGACGAAATATCAGCAGGAATAAATCTTTACCTGACTCCACATAAGAAAAATACACATGTTGGAGTACAAAGGGATAGAGAATAATTAGTTCTCTGCGAGTAATGCTGGAGAGCACGCTCAGGGATTTTAAATGACTCTTATGAATGTCCACTTTCACAACAAGATACTGAGTGTTCTCTTATTTCCAGACCATATTGAAAGTGACACAGGTCTAAGGGTTCTTAGCTCGGAATCTGTTAACCTCTAGAAGGTCCAGTAGTGGATTTGAGGCAGAACTGTGTACTGCATGAAGTTGTAACTGAAATTTTATGTGTTTGGGGGATGCATTTTACTGGGGAGAGCATTCATAGAATTTCATTAGACTCCAGAAAGGAATGAAAGTTTAAGAATCATTGCTCTGTGTAGCTGGGCTCCAAATTGCTGTGGTCATTTTGCTCAAACTGACTTTGCTATGGTCTAACAACTAGCCAGGAGACAGTGAGAGGGAGATGACTTGGTCCTTCTAGGTGTGCAACCACCTGGATACAAGGGAACGACAATGTAAAGGCTCAAGGCTCTGACTGCCTGAGTTTGAAGTCTGGCTCCACCACTTGCTAGCTGTATGGCCCTATGCAAGTTACTTAATCTTTTTGTCCTTCCCTTTTTGATCTGGAAAATAGGATAATGATTGCACCTATTTCCTATAATTGTTGTGGGGTTGAAAGTAAATGCTTACCACAGTGACTAGCACGTGGTAAATGTCAGTAAATGTTAGCTATCATTATTATCTGGCCTGCCAATTTCACCAAAAGTATATCTGATATCAGTTCTATTGCTAAATGATAGGAAGATAGCCTTGCTTTTCTTTTTGTTAAAGAAGACAGGCCCCCATATCAGTGTACATTTTTTGTGCTGTAGCTGTGCTACTAATAAAACAAATCTCTGTCAATATTAATAATATTTTAAATTAATCCTAGCTGCTTATATACGTTGATGGCAAATCTTTATATAAAGCTAACACTCTTCTCCACCCATATGCCATACTTTACTTTCTAGCTCGGTGCATTTAGTCATGCTTTCTTTCAATAACAACATTCATATATTTGTGCTTTCATATACCAGATACCAAATGAATTTCCCCATATTCTAGTTAAGGACTAAGGCAGAAAGAAGTACATTTCTCTGACCTCACTGCCAGGATTTGACTTCAAGTCTCCATGATTTTAAACCACATCAACACTTTTTCCCTCTACCTAGAATGCCCTCTCTCCATGTATCATGGTTCATCCTGCATAAGACCTTCCTGATGCCCCAACAGGAAATAACATCTCTTGCCTTTGAACTCCCAGTGCACTTTAGGTAAACAGTTACTAGCTGTTTTTTTGGTTGTTTTTTGTTTTGAGACAGAGTCTCACTCTGTTGCCTGGGCTAGAGTGCTGTGGCATTAGCCTAGCTCACAGCAACCTCAAACTCTTGGGCTCGAGCAATCCTTCTGCCTCAGCCTCCCGAGTAGCTGGGACTACAGGCATGCGCCACCATGGCCGACTAATTTTTTCTATATATTTTTAGTTGTCCAGCTAATTTCTTTCTATTTTTAGTAGAGACAGGGTCTCGCTCTTGCTCAGGCTGGTCTCGAACTCCTGAGCTCAAACGATCCACCTGCCTTGGCCTCCCAGAGTGCTAGGATTACAGGCGTGAGCCACCGTGCCCAGCCTGAACAGTTACTAGCTGTTGAGGTCACTTTCTTTCTTCATTATTCTTATTTGTGTACACATCTCAGTATTCTCAGTATCAGTGTCTTAAAGGCAAGATCGCATCATCTTTATATTCATCACAGCAATTGACAGTGCTTTGAAAATTGTCATAAATCATTTGTCCATGGAACAAGCTCCCTCGTTTTGCAGATTAGTTCAGAAAATTTAGGTCATTTTTATTTAAGTAGGAAAAACATTGTTTTCAGCACTAAGTCACTCTTACCAATTCAGCTTCAGGTTCACATTTTCTGGTTACAAGATGAAGTGGAGGATTACAGGGAGATCCAGCCTACATCAGTCTATATTTTCCTACAAGAACTCTTACAAGGAAAAGAAACAAGCTACGAGGTTTGTTTGTATCACTTATGAGCTCAAATCATTCTCAGAAAATTAAAATCCTTGTGAAATTGCCCATGGGCCTCTATATTATTAAAT